AGAATTCACACTGGCTAACGGTCAATTTTGACACATAACATAGAGTCATTGCAATCAAAGCCATGCCGAATCTACTTTTTTCGTATGGAGTTACCTCCGCTCTTACCGAGCAGAATACAGTGAACTTGCTACCAGGCTCATTCACGTTCCACTTGAGAAAAATTATTTTGAGAAAGTGTAGAAGATCTATAGAGTACCTGTATAGGGAGAGTAGCGACAGATCTGAAACTCCGAAAGTCCATCAGGCCTTCACCGATGCCTCCGCGAATAAAGTTAGGGCCCAAAAGGGCAGCCAACCTATGAATTTCGAATGTCCAGAGCGAGTTACAAATACAGTTGTTACGAACCGTCGTTTAGAAAGCATGTATTGGGTTTACTTTTTGCATAAATTTACTTATTTTTGCGAAAGAACGCTCATTTATGTACATTCTTAGCCATCTTGGTTAGAATTTAAATCTGTAGGCTGTAGGCTGGCAGTGAAATTTTGTGTGTTAGAAGTTGCTCAGAAGGGTAGCTGCACTTTTGGGCCCTAAGCCCTCCATGAACCGATCTGTCGCTACTCTCCCTATACAGGTACTCTAAGGAGATCCAGTTGTACAATCCATTCTCAAAGTCGGATTTCTTATCACTTAACTCAATAATTCGTTCAGGCTAATAGGAAAAAGTATATGCAGAACTCCCAGGCCTGTTTTCATTGATTCTCGTGTAATTTTTGGCGCAAAGTTGAAATTCAGATTCAGCTGTAAAATTACGTGGGAATCAATGAAAATATAGCTACCCGGGATTTTTGGAGGCTATGGCCCCTTTTATGGACTATCAACCAGGACGAAGAAACTGATTTTTAACCATCATGTTGCGGTTTTCTAGAAAATTGAAATTTCTTTCTCAACAGGCTCCTCGTGGAAAAATCCGACTTTCTGGACCACTGGTTCAAGATGAGGATGAAACTGTGTCCTTTTTTACTCGAAACACATACATTATAGGATATAGAATTCTTCCAACTCTTTTTGACAAGCGATTTAATCCACCTGCTGAACTTCATAGAAAACTTTTCCGGCTGTTTGGCGTCTTGGAGGAACGTTCGAAGATTTTAGTAGGTATCAAATGAAGCTTATATCTCACGTCAGTTTAACAGTAAAAGCTGATGAAACTTATCTTTTTTCAATCACCTGCTCTGACAATTGATTTTTCCAAAATAATTGAATTTTGCAAAATAAGAAAATACATCTATCACCCCCTATAGTGTACAGACGAAATTCGGAGAGCTTTTAAGAACGCTATCTGGCAACTCAATGAGCGATACTCCACGTTGTACGAGATAATTAAAAAATAACAGCGGTACCGTTTGTGGTTTATTCGAACGAGTGACCCAACCCTCATCCCCAACATGTAATGTTACTACCCTTTTGAAACAAGAATGCTCCGGATAGAGCGGCAGGTGAGTTACAGCGTGCGCGAGGGTCCGGAAATGGGAGTAGGGTGAAGGTACCGGTGGTGGGGAGATTATATTTTACTAGAATCAACAATTCGGCTTTATGAGGTATCTCAGATTCCAGGGTTGTTTCGAAACGTCACAAGTTTAAAACTTCAAATTTAGGCGTCATGGATCGTAAAAACTGTAATTTGACGGTGCAAAACTCACTATTGAGTTTTTAAAGTTGACAAGAAAACTTTTTAAATTCACAACCACGATTACCTCAATTTGAAGAAATGTCACTAGCTTACTCCATCCAGTTTACTTCACCACACGCTTCAATTTTTGAATTTTTTTAAATAATTTTCAGATTTTGTACCTTTTTCCTACGATGTTCCCGTTTTCTTGCTCAATCATTGCAGACCTTTCTTTGAAGAAGAAATAACCTGAAATTCATCCTGGAGAGACCTAAAATCGTCACCTTCCAGCCAAAGTATCAAAAGCGCCATGTGACGTTTCAAAATTTCCGCCGCTATTTTATCATTTTACAGAGGAATTGTTCGTTGAAGCTGTCCGAAAATTTCACTGATTTTTTTTGCTGCCGCTGAAATTCCGTGAAATTTGCAAACAGCTTCGACTAAAAAATTTTCTGTTGAAAAATAAAATGGCGGCGGATATTTTGAAACTTCGCATGGCGCTTGTGATACTTTGGCCGGAAGGTAACGAAATGATCACACATCACCGCCCAGCTCCCAAATCGCATCGATCCTCTGAAGAAGTTAAACGGCATCGGGAACGAGCTGAGTTTCGGTGAAAGGAGGGAGTCCGAATAATGTTGCCACAAACACTTAAAAAAGTCAACTTGGAAGAGTTATACTCGACTTTTAATCTTATTGAATCACCCATTAGACAGGTAACACGGTCCGCGGGTAATGCGAGCTTACTGGCGATAAATCCGTCGCCTGAGAACTCTTATTGTATTGAACTCATCTGTCTTCAGGTGATGCTAAGTTGTAGGTAAAATAAAATCCTCTTTTCATCCCTAGAATAAAATTCATCGCCTTAAAATGTTTATTTATTTTGGTCATGTAATGAAAACATTATGGAAAAAACTTTCCCCTGGTCAAATAGATCCCTACTTGTTACGAATCGAACAGTCCTCGCCTCATAAATCTTTCAGAGGGTGACACGATTCATGAAATGAAACCCCTCTGAAGGTTACAGGAGGCACTCATACGACTAAATGCAGGAGTGAATTGTTTCCTTCTATTCATACTCAGGATCGGAATTGAAAGATTTTTTTGAGGAATGCTGGCGGCCTGGAGTCAAATTATGTAAAGGAGGTGACTCGAAAATTTCGGTAATGTAGTTCTTAAGTTGCGAAACAAGAAGAAACCCCGCATAGTTTTAATGGTAATATTGGTAATAATCTTTAAAAAAATTACATTCTACAAGATTGGTTAACTGAAATTACCCGTTTACAAATAGGCTGTCTTAGTCTGCGCACGCAGAGAGGAATAACTTAATGGATTCCTGTGTTACTTATTCGATTATTTGAAAAGTTAAAAGTAGCTTATGTTAATTTTGGCAAAAAGAGCAGTGCAAAAAGAGGAAACCCCGGCCAATGGCTGTGTTACTCTGTATCCCATGCACTTCCCATGTTCCTGTGCTTTCTACTTTTCTGTACTTGTAATCTTTGTGATATTGTTTCGCTCACAATCAGTCCCTGAATGTATCCACCGAATACATCGCCCCTTAAAACACACAGCCTGAAATGAGTTTACCTTCTTCTTGAAGATAATTCTTCTTCTAGCATCATCAAATCTGCTGTCGTTCATATCCTTAGTAAAATTCACTCCTTACAACGGAGTAGATTGGTTTTCAAAGCACGGTCATAGAGAACGTTAAAGACGAATGAATACCAACATGTGTGATGAAATTTAGCGGAGACGAACATTAAGCAACACCTGTGAATGTTTTTTAGTTACTTTTTTTAATCAGAAGCCACCGTCATTTATGAGTGTGACTTCTTTACTTTTCCTATAAGGAGAATCTCTGTTTATATCAGTCAGAAACGAAAATCATAAATTTTAAAGACATGAAAGCAATTTTCGTCATCTCATGTTCTTTTGCATTATTTGTGAGAATCACTTTGGGCCCTTGTGCGAATCTCCAGGATTGCCCGGCAAGGTAAGTGACGAATGTATTACTTGGACCGACTTTGATAGTTAGAAGTCTATCAGTTCATTCTTACTAACTCTCGAGAAACCGGCAGTTTAAACAAATAAAACAAAAATAAAAATAAATCCCAGCTTCAAGCTTTTTGAGAAGTTAAACAGAAAGCTTTAGTGGGCTTCCATACAAATGGGCGAAGTTGTAAGAGCGGCGTATCCGAAGTGCGCACTAAAACCGGAAACAAACAAACTATGCGACACCCCGTCGCGTCGCGTCGTAAGTAGGTCGGAACCGAACACTGCCCTCGGGATAGGGCTGACTAACCGTGGTTGTCCTATTGCAGGGAATTGTAAACAAACCGGTCGCCTAGGTGACCATGTTTTGATTTGAAGACCTCGGTCATTCTGATCGGAGCCTTTGACGAAAATATGCAGTAGGTCTATACTAAAATTATATTCATAATGGAATGAAATGAGCACCTCTCCTCCCTGAAATATCTAAGGACTTTAATTCGGGAAATATTGGTGAATTTTGATGCATTGAGAAATTTGAAAAATAGGCTAACCCTTAGTAAATTTTTCCTCCGACCAATGATGTCCCTTACCCAAAAATCTATTTAAACCGATCGTATACTAGGGATACTTTCTTCCACTACCACTGGAAAGAACTAAGTATCTATTCTTTGGAAAGAGAGGGGGGGAGTAAGTGATAAATTACTCCTCAAATACCTTTTTACTAGGCTTTATGGTCGTTTTTTCAGAGGAAATCATCGCTGGTTACTGGCTGCTATTTGCATTGAGCGCATCAATTAGTAATGATACCTCGACGAAACCTTGATAAAAGGTGCCCCTGAAACTGTTTCTTTGAGTGGGCGACACATTTCAGATCTAAAAAATGAACACAGGATGCAGAAAAAAATTGAGGTAGCCAAAAGTCAAAGTGCAAAATGAATGATGTGACGCAATACACAACTCCCTGGGAACTTGAAAGTTCAAGTGGTTTGGTGAGGAAATATTTGACTTATTCCCAGTGGGAAAAATTGCATAATCTTCCAGCTCTCTAACTAAATACAAACGAATCAGGATCGGACATCTAAATACTTGCGGCAAAATTTGCACCGTTTAAGTTCTTTTGAAAAGACCTTTGAAAGTACTTTTTCTGAAGGTTCCGAGCAAGGAAATACCCTTGAATTTTACAATTACAGTGAATGCTAGCTTCCAAATGAGAGAGAAACCGACAAAAAATAAGAAAACTAATGAAAAGAGAAAAGAAAATAAATGGGAAGAGAAGAGGGACGGAGGAGGAAATATAACATTCGCAAAAGCTTGCGAGTCTTAATATTTATGAGCAAAGAAACGTGCATTCCATGCTGTAGGAATTACTAAATAGGAGGTAAATTCTGTAGCATTAATATGGTTTATATGTTGACCTGCAACGAGAGTATTTATTTTTTTAAATTTTAAGGCTTTTAAAAAAAATAGTTTACATGACTAAAACACATTTCAGGGTTTTCAGTGATTGTTGACGCGCATCGCTGTCTCGAGAGCTCCATGGATTGTGAATTCGGTTACATCCGTTCCAATGATGCTCCTTCAATCCGACGTCTATGCAATGTGCTCGCACTGGCGTTCGAATAGTTGCTCAACTGAGATTGATGTTTAACGTCGTTTGGAGACGCGGTCTGAACAACTATAACGTTACAAAATACGGTCTCTTCTTTAATTTTCACCAGAAAATCATGGTGAATCCGCTCTCAGAATTTTTCTTCTTTAGGATCAAGGTGGAAAACCCACTACAACTGAGTCTCCGGGGGGAAAGGAATAAAACTAGTCAGTATCATCACATCGCGTTTACATGTGGATGCAACGCTCTTGATACGGTTCAAAGGCTTCAAATTTTCAAAGTATCGAAATCAAAATGCATAAATAGTTCCTGATAATTTTAATTTTTTTAAGGGTCCTTGCTCGAATGTCAGAGCTGGAAAAATATCAAAATTTGACAAAAATAGTTTCAATGATAGACAATGGACAGGCGGCACACGTGTACAAAGCTTTCCTCCCCTTCATTTCTCTCTGTGGTTTCGATTACTTTTATTGCTTTTGGCCAACAGAAAAAAATTGGCATTTCTCGCGGCAAAAGTCCTCCCAAAACATAACGTGGCACTGTGTATTCAAGACTCATTATAGTCAAAGACGTTTCAAGGGGCTTGAATGACATTTTCAGACTTTCAAAATCTTGCAAAAAATGTTAAAGACCCTGCATACTGCCTTAAAAATTGAAATTTCCTCCATATATTATAACGGCCCCCTGTAATATTAAGTGCGTGGACACGCAAGAGAACCTGAGAAAAATGAATAAAGTAAGAGACCAGTTTTCCAAACGACGAGAACGGAAACATCCGATGACAATATTGCCGTGCTAAGGAAGACCGCCGTATGTGCTTTCGAGAGTTGCCAATTTTCTCCGGATAAATAATGCATTTTTCAGGAAAGTTGTGCATAGCTTTCCTTGAAATTTTGAGATATTTTAGACTAAAGTGTGTGCAAATTTGTCTAAAACATTGCCTGAAAAATATCCAACAGTTTCCGTGAAAATTCGCATTTTATCGGAGGAAATTTGGCAACGGCTGAAGGCTCATACGACATTCTTTCTTAGCACGGCAGAATAATCCGGGGACTTTCGAGTGGATTCAATAGGTTTTCCGAAATTTGTGAATATTCAAGGACTTGAAAGTCGAAGATGAAAATGGAAGTGCATTCAAGGTATTGTCAGCGCCCCACGAACCCTGGAATTGAATGGTTATGCACGCTCAGTTTCGGATCGTGCGCAAATTTGTTTTCAAGTTTCTTGAAGACCTTTTTGCAAAGTCTGTGAAAAATACACCAGGCCCTAGCTTTGTCCTTCTTCGATAGGAGTTTCCTGTACGGAGTGTTGACGTAACAGACACATTTTTTGGAGACACAGCGGCCTTTCGCGAACGGAGGCTGAATGATGAGTAATCCCATCCCGTTGGGCAATTTTCCCCTTGGGGTCGGCCGACCATACTTGTCTGCGCACCAAGCGTAGCAATTATGGTTGGCAAACGCGTCGTTCTTCCACCATTTCGTGCACACTGAAAACAACCGAAATATGAATGACGAAAAAATAGAGACGAACGGTGTCGTGAAAGGGGGAAAAGGAACAAAAAAACTTGAAATGAGTCATGGGGTCCGTGTTTTAATGAACACACGCTTTGAAAAGTGGCATAACGTGATATGTGATGGATGGATTGATCCGTCATTTAAACCTACGGAAAAGGATCGATGATAGGGTGTTCGTAATGAACACCTTAATAAACGATTCTTTACCACAGCTTCAAATGGAAAAATATAAAAAATCCATCATTCACGCCACGCTATACGGGCTTTGAACAGGAGAAGGGATTTTAGCTCAAGTGACGGAGATGAAACTTGCCGATGTGACGCTGGATAAGATCTTCATCCATTTTCTATTCCGTTGTAAAACTGATTTAAACTATGCGTGGATTAGGCACGGACAGTGATAAGAAAACGGGTTATACCTACTTGAGGCCTACTTAAATAAAAAGCCTATCCCTATCAGTTTAGCGGAAGAATTTGGATTTTTAGCCATTTTTAGGGGCTAAGTTTGAGATAATTTTATTAATGTACCAGGTTTGCAATAATCTGAGTAACACGCTTAATATGCGACTTTACAATCTCTGATAACTCGATTTTTTTTTTTTTTTTTTTTTTTTTTTTTAAACCAATTTCAAATAGCCTATTGGCTAATCCCACGCTTATTACCCCAGCCCCAGGTGACCATTGCCTGAGACCATCAAACTCTGATCACCTGGCCGGGAATCGAACCCGGGACCTCTAAAAAAAAAATGAAAACAAAAATAAATAAATAAAAATAAATTGAATAAAATCGCTTGCAACTTATTCCTTGGGATACTCAGAAGTGTTTTTCGACGAAAACTAGAATTCACATTTTTCCACAAGACTTCACAATTCGTCGCTTGGGCCAAGCGGCTTGGCTGACAAGGGGGCGTAAGTACAATTTGAGATGAACCCAAGAAAGCTAAATTTATTGAACGACAGGGTTAATCGCGAAATGTGTACGTCGAAGGCAAATAGTCAAATAAGGCATTTTATCAAATGCCTAGGCAAATAGTCAAATATTCGCTCTACATTTACAGAATTCCGTAAACTGTCAAAATTTGACTACAGCCTAGGCATTTGATAAAATGCCAGATTTTACTAATTGCCTTCGACATAATACGCCCTTATGTCAGGAACTCGGCGAATTTTAATATCGGTCTTCTGAGATTTCCTTAAAAATCGACAGCACTTCACGAAAATGTTTCAAATGATGCAACTATTGTCGGGACTCTCTCAAATGCATTATAATTGAAGGTTTATAAAATTGTTTTTAACAAGCCTTCCGACAAAATTCTTAATTTAAAAATCAAACTAAAATTTCATAAAATTTCACCATTGTCAATAAAACTTTTATCAACTTTAGGAAAATATTCTTAAAAAAAGTGTTAAAAAATATGATCGAATTGACCTAGATTCTAGCAGCCTTAAACTTTTGCAGAATACTTTAAAATTAATTTAGAAAATTTTCAGGTTTTTTTATTGAGGTACCTCTGCACACATGGGTAACTTTTCCCGTGGATGCCAAATACACTATTTCAAATACGATCCTAAGACAATCCAAATTGAAAATTGAATGGTATTATTACCGTTTTTAGTTTCCACGATTGAATTTTGAAACAAACATAGGAGAATGATGACTAGAGCGATATTTATTGGAGCCATTCCTCTGCCATGAAATGTTGGGCACTGGTATACTTGTGCTGAAAACAAGCTATGCAAAACACGATGTGCTGATGCACTTTTTCCGTTCCCCCGGAACCGCAAACATTCATTATTAAGAAATCATAAAACTGCTTTGCACGACAGTGATCGTGGATCATGGGGATTTTTTTTCTTCACACTGAAAAAAGTGTATCGCTTAGCGCTTATTACGGCGCGATTGTTGAAATGAAAGTAAACTGCACCACCAGGTTACACGCCTATTGCCTAGGTAGCTATGTTACTCGGATAGGTGCTATGCTCATATGCACGTTCCAAAAACAGGTTTCCTCATCATTCTTTAACATTATAGAGGTTTCTATTCAGCCGTTATCACGATCTGTTTCGCAGGACGAGGTACCAAATTTTAGTGAACATATTTTTCTTCGCCAGGTCTAGGATTTAGTATACCTATCTGTAAATAACAGCCCTGTCTGAAAAAAGCTAAAAACTAGGCTACATCGTTCCCACAAGGAATCAACTTATTACGGGCAAAAAAAGGAACTTTCGTTAAAAAAGCTTGATTTTTGAGTTCGCATCTCATCTGGAGGTTTACAGATTCAACAGAGGTTCGGCTTCGGTCTTACGGATTAAGCGGCTAGAATCAGAGTTCGTTACGTCAAAATGAAGCTTCTCTCTTTTTGGGAAAGCAGATATGTTTCTTAGTCTGCACCGAAAAAAATAAGAAATGAAGCTGATTTTCTGCGCTAACAGCATGGCCGATTTTGATCCTACGTCAGCGCTGCAGAACAAACGAATTGGGGTGAGCAGTGAACATTCTATATCAATTGATATAATGCTACAATAAGAACCCGAAATCAGGACTCACTGATTTCAGGTTTTTGCTGTAACGTATTGTATTAAATAAGAGAAAAGGCGGACAAGCTTGGAGGACAAGGCGCATAAGTGCAGTTTTTGCTATTTCGAGAAATACACACCGTGTTTGAAGTTTCTAAATTACATCGGTTCTTATGGCGGAAAGAAGGTTCAAACTGACTTTTTATGCTTAAACATTGTGATTCGGGAGTGAATTTTCCACAGAATATGCATTAAGACTAGCTTTGATTGAAATAATTGATACCTCAATTTTTTCAAAAACCGCATTTACGCGCCTTGTCCTCGAAGCCCCTCAAATATGATTGGCGGTATGGTGCGGTGTGCGATAGTTGGTTAACAGCACCAGCTAGTTTCTGTGCGTGAAACTCAAATTTTATTGGTGTGCGTACAATGAATAGCATCAACTGGGATTGGCTGAGTTAGCAACACTAACTTTTTTCTCTCAGTATGTACGCGCTTGGAGAAACATCGTATCAACAAGATCTAATTTTCAGACTGATTTTAATATTTAGTTTACAATTTTCTTTGAAATACAATGGAAAACTAATGCGATGCCTGGCAACATTTCAAAACCGACAAGGAACAACCGGTCAGACTTCAGAATATTGACAAGATCTAATCATCGACCTGATTTTAATATTTACTTTACAATTTTCTTTGAAATACAATGGAAAATCAATGCGATGCCTGGCAACATTTCAAAACCGACAAGGAACAACCGGTCAGACTTCTGAAATCCAACTACACAGCACATCTACTCCGAACAGTCTTCTTCAATTGGACTGCATTTTGCAATTTGGAACTATACATGATGGCTTTTTTCACGGAAAAAATTAAATTGGTGATTTAACAATTTTCTTGTTAGAAAAAGTGACTGCAATATTCCGATGTAGACTTTGCAACAAAAAAATGCTACTTTAACAACAGAAAAATGGTACTGTAACCACCCCCGTGGGTGAATTAGCATTCCACTATTGTAAAATGCACATTTGAAACATTGCAGTCCCTTTTTTTAACAATTGAATTGCTAAATCAGCAATCCGTTTTTTTCTGTGCTGGAAAAACACTTGTGTGCATAGGGAAACTAATGGCACGTACGTTGTTTTTAAACCGGGCTAAAATTTATAGTTCCAAATTGCAAAATGTACTTCAATTCGATAGGTAATCGTACTTCGTATCGGGAGGATTGGTTGCGCTCAGCTTGTAGTTTCTTGAGAACATCTCTTGCAGTGTCTGCATCGCCCCTGCGCAGAATGAGTTGGGGGCGCAGACGGTCCTCACTCTGTCCTCAACAGGAAGGAACCGTAGGTACACAGGATTGACGCGACATACGCACTTATTAGAGCGAGTGATGAAGCCTGTTGCAAAATTCGGTTGGACTTTACGAAGTTTGGGGTAAAGTTCTATTCTTCCTCGAGAACTAGGTGCCCCCCATTTGGTTCCGCAACTGACTGCACAGTAATGCGCTTCCACGGTATCCGGCGCGCTCGAGAAAGGGACGGTTCTCCGACCCACCGATGACGATCTTCTAAAACTCCCTGTAAAAAATGTATCGGTTATTTCTCATCGTGACGTTGAAACCTATGCTGAGCATGAACCAAAATGAAGATCGTGGGCGCAGCTAGGGGGGTCCAGAGGGACCTCCCCCTTGGAATTGGGTATGGTAGGTCTCATTTGCCCAGTCCCTTGGAAATTCTGTTTTGTGGAAAAAAATCTCAGTCGACAATAATTTTTTGTCGCCGTGTAACTTTTAATAACTATTTGAAATTATTTTGAGCTGAACTTCTTGCAGTGAAAATGTACAGGCATTTTGGGAAATTTGCGTCACAAATCTCAAAATATGTTCGATTAGTCAAAATTTTAAAAAAATTCCTGGAAGGCCCTCTCCTTATTAGAGTGGAAGAGGGGATCCCATACCCCCTTGTGATAGGGGAGAGGGGGAGAAGGCCTCGTGGTAGGTGTAAATTTCTGCAACATTCAGGAATTTCTAGTGCTTAGCTGATAGTGAGCGCTTTTTGCTTTCGGTCACCAATTTCAATCAGTCGTGATTCTTGCGCGTCGACAACACCGTTGTCTCTCCATTTACATGAACGTAAAAAATCGATTCTATGTAAAACTGTCTTACCGAGAACCGATAGTTGTAATGGATTTCAATGGAGGAAATAAAATAAATTAAATTTTGCAAACTTGCAAAAATCGCTGCTAAGCTCGATTGTATAACAAGTCGGAGAGCTTCTTCACACTTTGAAACAAAATTGGCCTGTTATATAATTGTTCCACATACTTTAATTTTTATAATTCTTCTGTTTGTTACAAAAATTTGATTGTCAACATTTTGATGGGTGTCTTCAGTCATTTTACTTCGGAGATTTGAATAAACCGCCTGATGCTTCTGCGTAAATGAGAGTTTTCATTGGTCAATTGTTTTCTCTTTACAGAGTATACTGATTACGACAAGATTTACAAAAACGATACTGATTGCCGAGCGCTTCTCTAGAACCTTCAAATTAAATATGCTCATTTGTTTTAAGTTTGCAGCAGCCCCTCTCAATGAGGAATTTTTGACCGCAGAACCTCCCCATTTCAAATTTTCCATTTTTCCCATTTTTTTTTTTTTTTTTTTTTTTTTTTTTTTTTTTTTTTTTTTTTTTTTTTCAAGTTTTCCATTTTATGGCTGTAGCTTGAGAAATGTCTCAAGCTACGGCCTAGATCAAGAAAGGTAATGAATATAGGTGAACGACTGCCACCAAAAAAAAAAAAAAAAAAAAAAAAAAAAAAAAAAAAAAAAAAAAAAAAGGTGAACGACTGCTGTTAAACTTTTAATATTCAAGCAAAAGGACGATTCAGACTCTTCTCTGAAGGTGCTCGGTCTTCTCCCGTGCGTTAGAAAATGTTCTAGTTACTCAAAACGTAGGGGAGTAAAGTCCAACTTCAGCTATTGATCCCAAAAGCGCGAAATATCAAAAATATGTAATGGAGACAGTGAAGCTTTAAAAACACTGAAAAAGTAATTATTGTATTGTTACCCGGCGAGGTCTTCATTCCATTCACCCGCAGGCTCAGAGGCACTGATATCAGTATCACCGCAAGGTAAAAATTCAAAGCCTTCATTATACACGTGACTATGGACAATAATCTTTAAAAGTTGGAAGATGGAGACACAATGATGCGTTGACGATTTTCACTGTCCTGGTCGATGAGCAATTATAGTGAGTGCCACTATCAAGAATCTACTAGTTGACTTGTGAAATTAACTTTAAACGCGTAAATGAAGTTGGCGGTTTTCCTGCCGATTATAAAAAAAAGAAAAAAAAGTCCGTTGATGAGTTGATGAACTGACGTTGATTGCCGAAAATAGACGATTCCATTTACGCGTGGAGACCGATCGAATCGGTTGGTATTGAAACCTGATAAGTCCATTTTCTGACGATCCCCGGAGTACCTGGGATTGCTTACGTTCTGGGGTTTGCCGAAAACTAAAAATGTTCGGTTTTTAGCAGGAGCGGATTCGATTAAAAAATGCCAGACACTATAATACGCAAAGAACTCCCCCTCCATTTTTTGCTTGAAATCCACTTCGAGTATCTAATTCCAACAGCATGAAAATCAGGAATAAAAAATTAAAAAATTCTGAGTCATCTCGTTGATGGAACTTTTTTTCGTATGAATTTTTTTGTGGTAGTGAAAATGAAAAAGCCATCGGGAGAAAAAAGTAACAATGTCGGTCATTTTAACAGGGTGTAAAAACTCGTACAATTGTGATCGTCTAATCATTAGGGAGTTGAAAAATGAGGGGATACGTTTAAAACGGCGGCAAAGTGATAACTTGAGATTTCGCTTTGCGATTCTGACTCTCTAAAGTGAAGTACGTTTCTGGTTAGGCCAAGCTAATCAAATCTAATATTTCATTGGGGAGGCGTGAATGATTGATAATCGATATTTCCCCCATTGAAAGCTATGGTAAAGAATCGATTATGGAGGTGTTCGTTGCGGACACCCTGTATATCGATCCTCTCCTATAGGTTGAAATGGCAGATCAATCGATATATCTGCCGTGCTAAGGAGGGATGCCATATAAACATTCGAGAGTTGCCAAATTTCCCATGATAGAACATGTATTTTTGACAAAATTAATTTATGCATTTTCCTCGAAATTTTCAGATATTTTACACTGGAAA